ACCTTTATCCTCTGATGAAATGCTTCTATCCTGGTGGGAGTGGCCTCTTTTAGGATGACTCTGCCCCCATTCACAGGGTGCAAAGGCTAATTGAATAGTTTGATGAGGATGAAAATGATGTAAAAGCTTATGCGATGGCCTTCACGCTTACCAGATCTCAACCTCTTTAAACACGTAAAACTCCAGACACTTGTTCTAGTGACTCGGGGTGGCCAAACACCTTACAAACACACTTTATGTTGGTTTTTCCTTTAAATTGTCACCCGTCTGTACATGTATATAGTTGAATAAAAATCTCAACTCTTAGCTTAATCGACTCTGATTTGTCTTTTGCACAGGCTTGCCATTTCGTATTTTCGTAAATAAGTACAAGGGAGTGGGCAGGGCAGACTGAAAAAAAGGAATGTGAAAATCCTCAGTGGTATTCAGAGATAGCTCAGCGGGAGAAGCTCACCATTTTGGATTTCCTAAGTCTCTTGAGAACTGTTCTCCACACACCAACACCCCCCTGACTGAGGAGAGTTCTTGGATCACAGCTGAATTTCTCATCGTCTTTCTTCAGCTCTCGTTCTCTGTTTCCTCCCTCTAGCTGTCTTGCAGTGCCAATTATGGATTTATCTTGCCTTCGGATCTTTCATGGAGAATGAGGAGTTAGAGAGGGGTCAGCTTCGTTCTTGTTCACCAAAAAACACCTCCTAATATGCAAAGAGAAAAACAGCATCGTGCTCGAGTGTCTCTAGCTGAAATCCGCCATGCTGGGAAGGCCCAGCGGCTCCGAGGCCTTTTCACACCGGCTGTTTGTCCTTGCTTTTGTCGTGTCTTTTACCCAGACGCTCTTGTTTGTTTGCGGGGTGCTGCACCGTGCCATCCTGAGCCGCTACCTCACTCTCTTCAGCTTAATCATAATCAAAACCTCAGCAGACATCCACTTCTGTGGCCTGCCAGCATAGGTCAGACTGTCTGTTCCAATTCCCTCAGATTGTTGTCGGAATAAGACTCAAAGCATTGTAGAATAAAGAACAAAAACAAACCCTGCAAATGTAAAGAGAAAAATAAAGAATCCTGGAGGACTCGGGTTGAGGCAGTGTGCTCTCGGTGGGACACACAGTGCCACGCTGGGCTTCATTCTCCTGCACACCTGCAGGGAGCTGGACGGCACCGACAAGCACCTCCATCCTCCTATCACTGGGGGACCACCACCCGTGGCATTCTGGGACATCACGCAAGCAGCGCAATGTCCTGTGTATGAGTCCAGGACTACAGCATCAAAAGCCATCCTCATAGTGGGAGATGTACCATTGTAGTTTAGATCACTTCTGTTTTTTTTTTTTTTTTTTTTTTTTTGGTTTGGTTGGTTGTTTGTTTTTTTTCTTATGCTATAATCACCTCTGCGGAACTTAGAAAGCACACCTTATAAATTCCGTATAAAATTTTATACAGTTTTAACAATTCATTCAAAAAAAAAATCCCCTTCTGGTGTCTGAAGTTTGCTTGTTTAACTTTGCACTGCAGCTACAAGGCTAATGTAGCTAACAGGTAAGGAAAGCTTATAGCTACCAGTTTAGCATTGTCCAAATTGCATGTCGTAATAATCACACACTGTAGTGTGACCTGGAACATTTTTTAATCATTAAAAATAATCTATGCAGGATAGCACATTGTTTCATATGACTTTTTTTGTACACTCTATACCGATACTTGTATTACAGAATTTATGAATATACTGTAGGTTCATAAAAACTCCTGAGAATATTTGGAAACACTTCCTCCTGTCATCCTAAATAGGCTAATATCGTTAACATTAGATAACTTATCCAGCTAGCTAACTGCTAGTAAACTAGCTCACATAGCCAAACCTGTCAAAATATACCCTAAGAACCAGGATGTTGTTGCTTGCAAATGTTGTTATAGAAAAACAATCAACAAAAGGGTGATGTGAATACAGTAGCTTTACCACCCCGAAGTTGATTATTTTCCAATAACAGCATTTAGCGAAGTGTTTTATTCCTCTTATACCACAGCAATTAACTAATGTGTATAATTTATAATCAGTTATAAAAAATATATCATAGAATGACACATCACACGTTTTATCCATTTAGAGTCACGTTTAATGTTGTGGATCGTCTACGGAACAAGCTGGTTCCTGTTCTCACTTACACTGTAACAGCTATAAACAGTTGTTTCCTCACCAGCTTTTTTTTCTTCCTCAATCTTTTACATATAAGCCAAAAAAAAATGCAGCTTGTCATGTTACAGAGAAAACAGAAAGCCCTCCACCCTGAAGACAGCTTGAGCTTTACATCAAACCACTGACACTGACTGAAATCTTCTTCCAGAAATGTTAAACACCCCCTTACAGAAAACTTCACCAGAGCAACGCGTCTATATGTTAGAGTTATATAAGCATATTTTTTATCTATTTATTATTAAATTATGTGAGCATCTGCCTATACACGTCCCCGTGAATTAGATGCTGCTATAGAAATTACAGCGTATCAGAACGAGTGCACTACTGTCAGAGCTGCTGTTGTAGAAAATTAATCAACCCCTTCTGACCAATCGAGAATTCAGCAGTGCTGTAGTAGAACTGCTAGTTAATTACATCCCTTTTGTTTGCAGAATTTAGTCTGCTGTTTTATCAAATTATTTCTGCACAAATTATATCACTGAACCCATCGTTGTCTTGTGAGGCGAATGTGTGATGATTTAGCCTTTCCTACTTGTTAGCAACATTGGCCTTGTTGTGCCATTGAGGTAAGTGAAACATTGTGTAAATTAAAATTTTGGCTCAGCTATTCCTTTATCATTTGTCAGACATCCAAAGATCCACATCCTCTGCCCTTTCTTTCTTTCTTTCTTTCTTTCTTTCTTTCTTTCTATTATTATTTGTTTGTTTGTTGTATGGTTTGCCCCTCCTCTTCTGTAGAGCAAGGTCCATCTCTAGCCTCATACCCCACTCCTAAACCCCGCAGCCCGGCTCCCGGTCCTACTCTCCCAGAGCCTCGGAGCTCGTCCCCATTAGAGCTGACACTGCAGTTATTCATGTTTCCATAATGCTCTAATTATTGCTGTCTCTCCACCTGACGATCCGTCACAATAGATTACAAACTGCATTGGCCGCTTGCCCCTTATCAGTTTGCTTTAATCCCCCCGCACGTTCCCAATCAATAAATTAAATTAAATCATTAGCGCCTCCCTGCCCTCCCTCTGACAGCCAGATTCCAGCTTTCAAGCCGGCCACTCTAATTAGTCCCACATTATTCTAATAGCACATAAAAGACACGCCACATGGGGTGGAGGGAAAGGAGTGAGAGCTCAGATAGTCTACAGCGCAAGAAGGCCTTCGCTTTCCTGTGCTTTACACTCTGACATTCTCATTCACCTGAGGGTGTGCGCACACAGAGCTACACACCCGGGATGTTTTATTTATTTGTGTATTTGTTTGAAGATCACACCAGCCTGAAGACACGATCAAAGGTGAGAAAGACGTTTTCTCCTCCAGCGCTGGCTCCACATGTCGAGACTATGGGCCATGGGAGAAAAGGAAGACTGACAACTGTGGGAAGAGAGAGAAATACAGACAAAGAGCCTGGTTAATCCAGCTTCACGTGCTCTGGATGGCTGAACAACTGCAGGGAAAGTATGTGGGGGGTCATGTTTGGAAGAGAGGATCGGAAGGAAAAAGTGCAAAAAAAAAAAAAAGAAGTCCAGTCACACTCAAGCAGTGATAAAGACCTCTACCTTCCTCCACTGCCCGAATAGTTGTAAAATTTAAATAGCATGGTTAACCAGCTGGAGCCCGGGACAATCAGCACACCGCTCTGTCAGCTCTCGCTCGCAGGAACCCATTGGCTCAAAAAGCTGTAATGATGACTGACTATTTATTTATTTATTTATTTATTTATTTATTTTTTCCATCTTTTCTTCAGCCTCTTTGAACTTAGCCAGTGCTGGCGAGAGCATCTCTCATTGTCATAAATGTTCTGCAAGAATTTATCCTGCAGTGGGGGGCATGCTTTTATCTCTCTCTCTCTCTCTCTCTCTCTCTCTCTCTCTCTCTCTCTCTCTCTCTCTCTCTCTCTCATTTTCTCTGTCTCTCTCTCACTCACTCTGCCCTGCACTGTTCTCTGTCATGTTCAGTGTGAAAGCAAACCTAATGGACTCATTATTCTTGGGGGAGAGGACTCTGAAAAAGTGTTTTTTTTTTTTGACACTGCATAATTAGGAGAGAAGCCCTGAACTTGATTTGAAGACCACAAAGTTGGGATCAGCATGTGCCTCTCACTAGAACTTCCTCTTTGAGGGAGAAACAAGGTTTCTGCTAAATTGACTGAGTAAGGAAGTGTCTAGTACGTTTGATAATCAGGAACACATAGACACCTATAGTCACACGGTGCTGTTGCTGGGTCAGAAGATAAGCAGGACTTTTTAGGAAATGGGTCACATTTCAAAGCCTTATCCACTCTGAGGATACATTTTAAATATTTAGGTTTTCAATAATGTTAAAAAAAAAAATTTTTTTGACAACCCTCTCCCATGGAAGCCATAAAATTGCGCATGGATTGCAGGAACTAGAGATATTTGAACGCGGCGTGTAGTGTCCTGTGATAGTTCCAACATATCCAAAGCAGAGAGCGAGTTAATTTGACTGTTACTGCCGTTACTATATGTTTTGGTCAATCCTCTATAACTGAATATAGCTACTGTATAGACAAAGCTGACCTCAGTGCTCAGTGTCATTATCATTATTGCCATGCATTATTATTACTGTACAAAATGTCTTTTTTTCTCATTACTTTAGTTTGCCATCTTTGCAGACTTGCATAACATTAAACATCGTTAAAAGCAGCCGTTCTTCTTTTGGCTGCTCGCGTTAGGGGTCGCCACAGTGGCTCATTGGTCCGTGTAGTTGATCTGGTACAGTTTTTACGCTGGATACCCTTCCTGACACATCCCTCCCCAGTTTTATCCAGGCTTGGGACTGTCACTGGGGTCAGTCCCCTGACTGGGAATCAAACCCAGGCTGTGGCAGTGAGAGCGCCGTGGCCTAACCACTGATCCTCCAGGGACCCTTAAACGTTGTGAAAACAGCAAAACTACGTAAATTGTGTAAACTTCCTGCCTCAGGTACCATGTGATAAGCTTTTTATGAAAGCACAATTTTCAGATATATCTATATTGGTTTGACCAAAACTGTTAAATAATTTGAATCGAGAGTTTACTGATACACAGCATAAAAATGGTAACTTGCACAGAGAGGTTTATAATAATTCAAGCAATAATTCTGGTTTTAAAGTAGTAGCCAGCAGGTTTGTATTTTTTATTATTATTGTAATTGTAATTGTTGTTGCTGATGTTATTATTATGATTATTATTATCATTATTGTTGTCGTTCTTGTTATTTCAGTGCATCTCAGTGTTGTTATAGTTGTTATTTAATTATTACAGTATTAAGCCTAATTGGTCACTTTAATTGAATGGCTTTAATCCTAATGGCTTTAACCTAAAAAAAATAAACAAAAAAAAAAAACAAGTGTAAATTACTTCAGCTCGAGTCTACCTGCAATATGGCTTTAAAAAATTGTTTACCTGATGCAGAAGGTTTTGCATTTACATTTTAATGCGGTGCAACTGTGGGCGGAAAGTTCAGGAACAAAAAGCTGTCATGACTCCAGTAAATAAATCTGGAAGTACATATTTGCCTAATACGCATAATTAATCTGTGCTGTGATCATAAGGGGGTCTGCTGAGAGTTTGTTCTTTGTTCCTAGAAAGAGTCCCATGGGTGCAAAGAGTTTAAGAACCATAGGTTTTATTGCATTTACTGCTTTTATGGCTCTGAGTGTGTAGCTGCTCAGAGTTTGACAGTATTAGCCATGTAGCTCGCTGATATAATAATGCTGCAAGATTTTCAACAGGAGATTTTCAAACCACCACCTCAACAACACCTTTCACATCATATTCCATTCCAGCAGCATTTTGCTGTTCGGACTGAACCAGTTTTGCCATCTGAGAACCTCCTTTTTGGTTGGAAACACACACTCACACACACGTGTTTTTATTTTTTTATTTATTTTTATTTTTTTTAACTATCCTTGTGAAGACCTTCCATTAACATTCTTATTAATGCAGGTAATCAGGGCTATCCCTACACCTAAATCTTACCTTAATCGTACCCACCATAAGGCTTTTGCTGTTTGTTTGTTTTTTTCTGTTAAAAATGCAGTTTTCCTTGTAGGGAGCAGCCAGGTGTCAGATATTAGTCTACTTTTGAACAGGGATATTTGAACATGATAATGCTGTCCATGCTAATGTTACTAACACTAACGCTATTGCTTACACTAAGCTTAGCCTCAGGAACCAAAATGAAAATATCTTTCAGTTTTTCAAAAAGAAGCAATAAGAACACAATCATTTTTGTCAGGTCTAGGTAATCATGAAGACTTTTGATACCATCCTAACTAAAATATGTACACACGTACACACACACACGCGCGCACACACACACACGCGCACACACAGAAAGAGAAAGATCAAGCTATACAACAGTTAAGTTTTGCTTTTTCACCCATAACCCTGTCTCTCTTTCTCTCTCTCTCTCTCACGCTATCTCTCTCTCTCTCTCTCTATCTCTCTCCTCAGCCTTGAAGGACTCTCGCTTTCAGCTGGTCAACTTCTCAGACAATGAGCTGCGCGTGGCTCTGTCCAACGTGTCTCTCTCGGATGAGGGCAGATACGTGTGTCAGCTCTACACGGACCCTCCGCAGGAGGCCTACGCCGACATCACTGTGCTGAGTACGAGCCAAACACACATACACAAACTCTGCCATCCATCCTGCTGGAAACAAACAGGCAGCAACACACCTCTGTCCCTGAACATGTCCTTGTCTTGTTCATTTTAACAGCCCGAGGCTCAGGGCGCGGCAGTAATGAAGCAGCATCACATGCTGTAGAGCTTCATCATGTTTTTTTTATCAGAACAGTGTTTATGAGCTGTCATAGCTGAGGACGTTCAACACATATTTGCTATCTATCCTAACTGGAGACCTCTGAGACTTAGCCTGCGTCTGCAGCATTAGTTACAGCGCAAAGCAGCGCTCTTATGCTACAAACACTTCTACACACTGGTACTATGTGGCAGGGGGTTTTGGAAAGCTCTCTATAGTCTGCATAACCACTTCACCTGCCACAGCTGCAAAGTCTGACAGAGGCCTTCAAAACCATTACAAGATTCACTTACAGGAGCACATCTGCCCTGCGTCCTCGGGTGCGTTTGTGGAAATGACGCTGATTGGATTATTGATAAAGCAGTTTTGAAAGTGTCACTAGTTATTTGCAAGTAATTATTTGAGTAATTATGGGGATGTTCAGCTTCAGCATGTGGTTTTTATGATTAGAGTCAGTCATTATCAGGGAGCAAAAAGTAAAGCGAAATGTAACTATAAGTGAAAGTTACCAAGTGTCCACTGTATACAACGCTGTAGAATTCTCGATTCTCATACATCAGAATGTGTTGATTCATTTTCCCCAACAGCAGCTGTCAGTTATGTTCCAACATGTTAAACGATAGGTTTGTGCCTGTTTTAATCATTTATTTTTCCAAAGTAACAGCTTGCATAGGGATTTGTAGGGTGGACACTAATACTAACAATAAACTGATTTTTGCAAAAAGTTTTTTAAAAAAAATAGATAACTATTGTTATTAAAAAAAAGATCAAATACCTATTGTTAAAGTAAATTTAACAAAAGTATATAATCATTATGAAGTTTTCTGTATCAAGAAGGTTGATTTACATTTATGAAAGGAGTCTCCAGGAATATAAAATAAATATAAAGCAAGCTTACTGAATTCAAGACAGTGGAAAAAAGGCTAGTGAGAGAACTTTTTATGTAAATGTAACTTTTTTTTCTCGGATGCTCCACAGTTGTAGACTATGACTCTTGGGATTCTCAGCCCGCAACCTCACTCGCACTCACCTGATCACGCAAGCCGCTACTCCAAAGCTACAGCGAAGGCAAACAGCCTCCTCATCAGCCATGTTAAACTAATCATTATTTCATCTTTATTACTGATAATAATAAATGTAATCTAGATAGCAACCTAGATTAGTTAGTTAGTCAGTCCTAGCTATGACTGTTAAGAGCATTATTTTGGTAACAATGTGCCACTTTACATATCAGCACAATGAATGCAAGGGCCAGTGCTTTTTCTGTAAAAAAAAAAAAATAATAATAATACCAAGTGTGAAAGCACCCTAACTCCTCACAAAAGTTAGCTAGCTTGTAGTTAGCTTGCTAATTAATAAGTTCGCTACCATTTCAATGAGTAACTAGCAAGCTAAATATATAACATAGGTTTAAATATACCTATCTGGCTAGCATTACAGGGTGGAGTGTGGTATAAACATAAATAGTTAGATAGCTTGTACGTCTTAACCGAGAGGCTATTTTTGTAGTAGCTAAACATTACTTTCATAAGCTAACCAACTCAGCTTGGATGAGTCTTAGTCACAACTGGACTATGACAAAAATCTTAAAGTTCACTAATCTTAACGTTTGGTAAATATAGCACTCTTGTGTGTATTTGATTTGCTTGTCATGGATGATTGATGGTTCGACCCTGTAACCCCCTTCATCTGTGTTTGCTCCTTCCAGTCCCACCAGGCAACCCAATCATCGAGTCGCGTGAGGAAATTGTAAGCGAGGGCAACGAGACGGAGATGACCTGCATAGCTATGGGCAGCAAACCAGCCGCCACCATCAGATGGATGAAGGGAGACAAAGAGCTGCAAGGTGGGTTATTTCACATGTATCCTGGACATAAAACACACCTCAGTACATTTTTTTAATACAGGTTTATAACACCTTAGAACAGAATTGACAGTTATGACATGCTTATTCCGTCTGACTGATTTACTGTTTTGTGCTCTTTGGATATAGGTGCTGTTCTAACACTCTTTTCCCACCTGTACTCTGTGCAGAGATACGCCCTGCAATTTTTCTAACACCTTCTCATTTTAAACTAGTGCAGCTTTGTGCAGGAGCACCAGTGAGACCAAATGAAAGACAGCACCTGAGACGCAAGGCTGTCTAGACAAGCACACATTGCCTATTACAGTGCAGGGGAGAGCAGCAGCTCACAGAACTACAAAATTCACAGTATACCCCAGTCCTGACCTTACCTCAGACCTGACTTTATTTCGATCCTGATTTCACCTCAGTCCTGAATTTACCTTATTCCAGACTTTACCTCAGTCTCAAGTTTACCTCAGACCTGACATTACCCTAGTTCTGACTGTACCTCAAACCTAAGCAGACCCAACTTTACCTCAGACCTGACTTTACATTCAGTGTGACTTAATCTCAGTCCTGACTTTACCTCAGACCTGACTTTACATTCAGTGTGACTTAATCTCAGTCCTGACTTTACCTCAGACCTGACTTTATATCTGATATATATCTGATATTTATATCTGACTAGCAGCAGGACAAATCCACATTGTCCTGACACCTATAAGATTAATGACATTAACAAAGCCACCTATTATAAACAAAATCGTGGTGCATGATTCCTTTCTTCCTTCCTTCCTTCCTTCCTTCCTTCCTTCCTTCCTTCCTTCCTTCATTCCTTCCATCGATCAATCCATCAAGAGATTTTAGTTAGAATCCTGTCAGTGCCATAACTATTTAAGAGAGCAACATTCCACCTTAAAAATAAACCTTGAAAATCAAGGTTTATTTCCTTCTTAGCGCCCCCCAGTTCTCTATAGAATCTTTATTTAAAATAGCATCATGTTTATAAATTTGGTTTTGTTATAGCATATTCAGGGGAAACATTATCAATGCTTTATCCATGGAATGTAAATATAGTCAGCTGGGCCCTAGACCCTACCTGCTCGTTTTCCCTTTACCATGCATGGTGATCAGAGAGATCAGTGTCAGGGATGTACATGTTATTAGAGATGTGTATGACTGTTCATGCACTCTTTTAGAGACAAGAATGAACAGCGAGATGGGAAATGAGCAAGAAAAATAATGGAGTAAGGAAGCAACACGAGCAGCCTAGCGC